TTTCTTTTGTGTTTTATTGGATTGTTGCTGTTATAATTCAGTATTTGTTCTGTATGAGCTAATTTTCTATAAACCTGAGTTTCTGATTCCCCCGTGGTTGTTCGCTTGACTAAGACGTCCAAAAATGTGATTTTTCTCTCGGATTCCTCTTCTCTTGTGAATTTGATGTCATTGAAGACGTTATTTGTTAAATTTTGAGTTTTATCCAACTGCTTTCTTTAGATTATAAACATAAGGCATACAAGTGATGTTCAAATGTCTTTTAAACCTAATTTTATACAGCTAGTTCACTTTATTAGTTTGAACAAAGAACGAATATATTTGCAAACAGGATGATACAAGCTCGTCTTATCTCGTCGTGGATTCTCTGTCTTCAGCCCCCTACATCCTAAACAAAATCATTTATGTGTTGGAAAATGGTGTCTCAACATATTTTCTACAATAATTACAAGTTATAGGTAGAAAGTGAACGTATAAGAAACACAATTCCAAAAATTGATTTAAGTAAACAGTTATTAAGTGTTCGGACTAAATACAATTTACAAGGCAGAAGAACAGAGTGAATTTATGCGTATTATAATGAAGACTTAAGGAGGGTGGGAGTGAATGGTGAAGTAAAATTTTAAAATAGATAAAATAATTTATTCAGAACAAAATATTTAGAGCGAACAATTGTTTTCAATAAATTCTTCTTCAGGCTCTACAATTATAAATCCATTAATGTAAGCAAGCATACAATAGCCAGTAAAGGCGAATTAGAATCATATCAGAAAGTGTATTGTGGAACAAGTATAAGATGAGATGAAACAATAGTCATATAGTCATATAGTTTTTTAATATGCATGGACAATAACAACATGGGACAGAATGAGATGAAATAATTTAATTTAATGATGTGTGTATATATATAAATATATAGGTTTCCAGACCGTAGGTGTTACGAATTTCCTGGAATAATTTGAGCGCCGAGTCAGATTGATTCATTATAAATTATTTAAATTAATCTCAGCGTGTTAAGAAAATCAAAACAAGATTTTTCTGAACGTTTCGCCGTGTAAGCCACAGCTTCTTCAGCAGATTTATACGGATTATAATTAATCATCAAAAGAAACTGTGGCTTACACGGCGAAACGTTCAGAAAAATCTTGTTTTGATTTTCTTAACACGCTGGGATTAATTTTAATAATTTATAATATATAAATATAGTTAACAGAAAATACAGGTTTCAAGAGTGAGTGTAATCAGGGTGTGTGAGGCAATATGAAAATAAACCAACTAATGGGGCGGTCTAGACATAAGTTCAAGGTTGAAAATAACAACAATAAGAATGATTGTAAAATAATAACGATGATATTGTGTAAAATTAAAAGCACTATTGGTGAATGATTGTCAAATAATAATAATAATGAATATAATGAAGTGGAATGAACAGTATTTTGTAAATACGATAGCAAGTTAGAAAAGCACTACTTAAACCTAAGGTATTAAAAGCATAAGAAAGATCACGAAGTCATAAAAGTTCAAAATGAACGTTTGACAATGAGACAGAGGAATAGAAGAAGGAAAAGAAAAGAAAATTGTGATGGGAATTTATAGCGTTAATGTTTATGGGGGATTTGTTGGCTTTATTGTAGGCCAAGATAAACATAGACGTTGAGCATACTTCTTCTGTATGCAAAGAGAGGGTTTTCTGGTATTAATTGTAACCATTTCACTTACTGATAGAAGACGTAGTCGAGCTTCTGTAGATAAATTACTAGGAATGTGGTAAATAACTGAGAAAGCCTGGTCAAGTTTTATCGGGTGTCCAGTATCTACCAAGTGGGCTAAGACTGCACTATTTATGCATTTGGTTACTCCTTTACTCAACCGTACAGTTACATGTTTACGCGCGCGCATGGATAAAGTCCTCTGAGTAGGGCCAATGTAACTGGCTCCACATGAGCAGTTGAATTCATTGATGAGGCCATCTTTGGTATTTTATCCTTTACTTGCTTTGTGAGTACTGGTTTAGTTGAGAAGTTTAGTACCAGTTTAGCTGCAGGAAATGTTCTATCTACTGCTCTATTGAATCGACATTTCCCCTTTTTAACATAACTCAAGATACAAAGGTTTCTTGTCTATGGTATCCACCTTTACCCTGTCTGTAGGTATTGACATATACTTTTTTAGGAAGCTCTGTGGATATCCATTTTCTTGCAGTGTGAGTTTTAGTTTATGCATTTCTTCCTTAATGCATTCCTCTGAGCATATTCGTTTTATTCTGTAGCTAAGACACTTAACTAAGTTTCTTTTATGCTGAATCGGTGTGAAACTATGGAAATGGGTGTACTGACCCGTCCAAGTTTTCTTTCTAAATAATTTCCCTTGTAAATATCCGTCTGTCTTCATGGTAAGTAGGACGTCCAGGAAAGGTAAACTGTTATTGTCTTCTTCTTCACATGTAAACTGAATAGTTGGGTGAACACTATTAAAGGTATTCAGAAGCTCTTGTTTATTAAGATTTCTATTACAAACGATAAACGTACATCTACGTATCGACAATAATAGTCAAGCCCTTTAATCGTGTCTTTGAGTGGACCATTTTCAAGCTTTGCCAGGAAAATATCCGCTAGCAAAGGGCCCAAAGGTGATCCCATGGCTACCCTATCAACTTGTCTATAAAAACCATTATTGAACATAAACTGAACATTCATAGTGCATTTCAATAATAATTCTTTGACCTTTTGCGGGTGGGATTCCTACATCTATTTTCTTTTCTATCAGCTGGTCACATATGTAGTTGACTGTTTTCTGTTAACTATATTTATATACATTTATATATATACACACATCATTAAATTAAATTATTTCATCTCATTCTGTCCCATGTTGTTATTGACCATGCATATTAAAAAGCTATATGACTATATGACTATTGTTTCATCTCATCTTATAATTGTTCCACAATACACTTTCTGATATGATTCTAATTCGCCTTTACTGGCTATTGTATGCTTACATTAATGGATTTATAATTGTATAGCGTGAAGAAGAATTTATTGAAAACAATTGTTCTCTCTAAATATTTTGTTCTGAATAAATTATGGGAATTTTTAATTTACTAAAATAATTTAATTTAGTAGATTTGGAACCTTAATAGTGAGTTCAACTCAGTGAGTGACAATCAAAGTCAAGATTGGGTGGAATGTCATGTACGCAACACAACAAAACACAAAAGCACATAAACAAAACAGTGACGGTTACCAGCTCGGGAGGAGAGAGAGTAGTCATACTCTCTTTCCACATGCGTAGGTTGAGTCAGAGTCTTTTGATGGCAATGGCTTCTACGAACTGAATTCACCATGCTTCTGTTTACGTATTGATTATTTTGAAAGTCTGACTAATTTCTACTGTATGTTCCGTGTCAATTGGGTGGTGTCTGGCAAATGTGAGTGAGAACACTTTTCTCCCTTTCATAAGGGGAGACTTTTAAGGATATGCTTGGAGAATCTAGTAGACACTCCTCTCCTCTCAATCCTTCGTATGTGCCTGCTGCAATAGGTGCAGATGAACTGGTGGATACAGTTTGGAGTTCACATACAGAGCAGGGTATTTATCTACTTTTCACTGGGTTAATGAGCATTTTGTGTTGTAAAGTGGGATGAGTCTAGCAGTAGGAAATGTTCTTTTTTTAATGCACCTTTAATTCTGTTTTCCACAATTATACAGTGTTTTATAAATGGACTCTGTTGTTCAATCTTGCAACTTGTCTCTAGTTCAACCTTGTTTACAAGCGAAATCTGAACTCTACACCACCCCCACTGTCTAATTACTATATAAGTATAGTTACTCTTTTAACACTGAATAACTTGTCCACTTACATCATCTTTGAAATTATATTGCTTATGCCTACATTTTCTATCATGACCTTGAAATCATTGTAAAAGTATATTTAGAAACCATTTTATAACACATAATTGATTTTGTTTATGATGTACGCAGTTGAAGATAGAGAATCCACGACGAAATAAGATGAGCTTGTAATATCTTGTCTGCAAATATATTCTTCCTTTCTTTATTCAACAAAAGTGTCAAGGATGCATTTCATATATTTTAGAAGCTGTGGCGATTAATATACTTAAACAACCTTTATGTGATGATATTCAATAGTTGAAGACCATCATCAGGAAGCCCAGCTTGACCTAGGTTTCGTGCTAGTTGGCATTCACTAGCCTGCAACCTTGAAAGAACTCATGTCCCTTCTGAGATTCGAACCCACGTCACCCAGTGCTACACTCAGAGACATAATCACTGAGCTATTCGGGCTCTCAGTTTACTTCCTGTAGGACTGTAGTGGACACTAGTAACTATTTTGATGTGTTTAGTCCTTTCTACTCTAGGGCAAAAACTCTCCACGGATGACAATGGCTGGTGGTCGGGCTAAAATCATCACTGAGTGGGATCCTAGTTGACTGTATGGTCAATGAGCATGACTTGTGACTAGAAGGTCCAGTGTTTGAATGTCTCCAGGTGCATACTGATGGAGAATCCCATACCAGGATGAACCGGCCATCCAGTACTCTCTGCTTATCAACAGTTCTCTCACTGATATCCGTCGGTGATCAAACTTCAAAGAAATTAAATCTCAACAATTTCATCAGAGCGTTATGTTTTTAAAAGTCAAGTGAAAATTTCAGGGTGGATAGTTGTGTTCACCAGTATGTTAGCATCAACTTAGATGATTTATTTATAATGAGCCACTATTCCTCCCCCCCTTGAGTAATTATCATTAACTTAAATGACATTTTCATCTTCGTAACTAGAATAAATACATTTTAAAAAATGTTTGGAGCTCATTCTTGGACACAAGAGAAAATATTGATAAAGACGAGGCAAGATGTCACATGATTCCTAGAAGCCTGGTACTGAAATCAATTAGCGGTGAATAGAAGCATGGATATGTATCAGAGTTACACGAACAAGAGGTCATCAAGAAGATTCAACACAGTATGACCTACCGATGTGTCGCCATAGCTGATACGATCTTCCAACTGCTATATTCTTCCTTACTCTGTATTTCTTTACTATTCATAGTTGTAGAGTTATGGGTTTGTTGTTCTGATCTGTATGAGATAGTAGTTGTAGGACAAAGTGCAGTAGCACTGTTACTATTCAATTCAGTGGATAAATCCTGTTGATTGTCATTACTCCTTATATCATTACGATCAGTACTATGCTGTCGAACAGAACTTCTGGATACGCCTTGTTTTGATGTTGCCGTTGTTGTTGTTGTTTCTAACGAGGATTTATTACTCAACTTTTTCTGATGCTCTGAATTGAATTCATACATTTGAGACATTTCTTCAATATTGATACATTCAACTGTACTCAGAGTTTTCAGCTCATCTCTTCCACCAACAACTAGCAGACGACCATCTGTTAGTATAATACAACCGCATTGTTGTCTTTGACCAGGTAGTTGACCAATTGTACGCCAGGTATTCCAGTATGGATCATATTCCTGTCAATGTTGAAAAGACAGTTAAGCGAACAGTATTAGTGTAATAAAAAGGAAGGTAATCACATTTATATTAAAGCTATCTGAAATAATTTTGGTTTAGTAGACTGCTATTAGCGTAATGAGTGTTGATTGAAGGTGAACTGAAAATCAGGATTTGAACCACTAGCTTCAAGATTACTGGTGATGCTTTCTACCAGCTGTTCTGCATTATCTAGCTGCTGGGTAGGATATCAATTCAACTGGGACAACCAACATTCAAATATTAGACAGAGGAAACACCAATAATGCTAGCTAGAGAAAATTCAGAAGCCTGCATGGTATTCCAGTGAATCGTCAATCAATAGACACGTCGAGATAGACACCAAAATTTACCAACAGATAAGAAGGAAATGGTGAAAGTTCAAGTCAGGGGAACAATCAACACCAATGCCAAAAGAAGTAGCCTAGAGTGTGTGAAAACACACAAAAACAACCAATCATGACGCTCGAGGTCACCCACGAGGACAGATGACTGATAAACCCGTGGAGAAACCTAAAAGCTCACTTCAACGAATTGAAGTATGCGCTGAAGATGTTGTTTAGTAAGTAGGGCAGTGAAAGCTTCGCAAATAAACCATCCACGTAGCTGAGAGAACACAACCACATCAAAAAAGACTAGGTAATTAATTACTTTGCTGAAATCATCATAGATAATCGTCGGCTATCGTCATACTGGTTATGAAGCTGAGCCTTCTCCAGTGAATACTGCAACAAACTATCTTGGATAATCTTACAATCAGTTAAGAACCTGCTGTCTTCCTTCTAGTTGACGGGAGGATACCTATCTGGACAGACAGTATGATGATAAACAGACAGTAATGTATCACTAATTCATATGACAGATCGGCATAACCTCTAGTGACTGAAGTTAGATGTTGACCTGATCAGCAGGTGAATACCAGTTTGTCCATATAATAAAGTGAAACATTATGATAGCCATCAGCATCTCCCCCTCGAATGCCATCTCAAAAACTTCGTCTGTGATAGCTGATTGTTATCATCATCCCTAACACAGTGTGACCTGTATCAGTGGTAAGCGAAAATTCTATTCATGATAACTGTGCTAACAAAAAGTCAAACCTGATCAGAGACATCAATTATTTCTATTCCATTTAAGAAATGCTAGTTTTGAAACATTGGTGTTAAATTTAAAATGAACATCGATATTATAAAATCTAATTCCATTATGAGTTGACATCGGTTAGAGAACCATTGGGAAACTACCAGGGAGTACGGGAAAGCTGTTTCGTCAGCCTGGTTTTACATTCTTCATCAGTAAACACCCACCCCGACGCAAGGGTACAAACGCAGGACATTCTGGTTACAAAGTAAGCTATCTCCTGGACCATTAAGTCACTGGCACTCAATCCAACGGCCAGCCCACGAATTCCAACTTCTGTCAATTCGAAATATAGCGCGAACACTAGTGAACATCATCACTAGAGTGTATTTGTCCTCACGCCCGACCTTCTGTACCCCAATGGTCATGATTTATCACTAGAACCCCAAGTAACTACTTGAATAAATAGGGCTAGTCGCTGGTGAGTATAAGATCGATATTCAAGTGTTGTTTTGCAAGGATTTGATTTGATTGGTTACAGAATTTCCTCGTCAGCTGACCCTGCAGTGTGGGTGTATACTGATGAAGAGTCTAAAACTAAGCTGACGAAAGAGCTGTTCAGTGGTCCTCGCAGGTTTTCCAATGGTTTTCTAACCGATGTTAGCTCATGATGAAATCCTGTAACTCAATTAGATTTTAGAACACGGGTATTTACTTTAAATTTACCACCTGTGTTTTAGAACTAGCATTTTTCAAAATTGCACATGCGTATTGTAGGTGAATGTCATGGGGAATAAAACCGCGTACATTTTACAAAACGTCAATACCTTCCACCGATAGATGATATAAGTTGACAATCGATTTATGCATGTGAGACAGACACTAGTAAACTCAGCAAATAGAGGCGTAAAAACAAGAAATTCCCTACTTTGAAATTGACTGATGAATCTATACTAGGCCTTGTTAAAAATAAAAGTGGCATTCAAACCACTGACAAACTCAATTAGAAACAACCTTTGTCTGTTAAAGGATCTCGCCAGTGAAACCAATAAAACAAAACAATTTAGTTTATCTAATACCCCCCCTGCAATTATTGTCAGGTCAAATACATAGGTTAAACTAGTAGAACAGGGGCAGTCAGCCAAACTAGCTGAGCATAAAAACCTACCAGCAAAATCTAGATTAGTTGACCCAAATAAGATAAGAAATCTAGAGAATAGTTCAGCTATAGCACTACATATAGTTACACACAACCATATGATAGGATGGGATAGGATGGCAGTTTTAATATCTTATGTCACAGAGTGGAGGGTGAGACTGATAACAGAAGCTTTGTTTATCGAATCAAGTGCAAACCAACACGTTTCATAGGAATGATTTAACACCTGTCCCTGATATCTGGAAAATTCTACTACCCCTAGGACAAATAGCAGAAAACGTATAAAACTATAAAACTCAAGTTTCGAAGTCGTGTGATTATAACTGATGATGAAATGATTATGAACAATAAATTTTGTTGAAAACTTTGTCATCCAGTAAATAATACTGTCACTCCACTGTGTGACACATCTAATAAACAAACTAATATGGAGTTACTTGCTACCACAATGCCCAAGTTTTACACATATATTAACTGATGAATCCAACCTATAGAACTCTGTAAGATTACTTTTAAGTACTTAGTGGTCTTCATTTCGGAAGAGACATCACTTGTATTGACGTTATAGTGATGACAGGTGACTTGAGGATTTCCTAGAGATTGATTTCTGGCAAGCAAGATCTAATAACTTCACTTATTTCCTACATGTTTCATGATCCACTACAAGTAAGTCATAACATAGACGTGTCGCACATTATACTCAAAATAGTTCAACTAGACCGCTTATTATATTCATCTGAACAATGCTCAAGAACCACTTAAATCTACTGTAAGCCACACTGGTGAAGAATAATATGGATCCATCTTATTTCGTCGGTTCTCATCAGCTGCATACAACAACCTATAATCTTTAATAAATAAAAGTCAGCGCCAAATTTAACATATTTTTGCCATCAACATGAATATTATAACAGTGTCATGGTTAGATAAAACATCGAAATGACAAGGTATCTGAAGTACTAAGGATATATTCACATATCTTGTTAGAGATAAGTGTCTAGACAATAAACGACAAGTTTGTTGTTAGGTTGTAAAAAAATTATTACCAAATGCGTAGTAATAATAAAGGTTTTATTTTGTATTTCCTAATGAATGAAAAACAAAAGGATATTGTTGTCGTTTTTACTGACGTTTCACTATTTAATTCTAGTAGCTTTATCAAAGCAGTATTATTAAACCAGAATTTACAAAACCTCGGCTTACATGTAACAATTTAATCATCGTTCCTCAGCATGAGGTCATTTTTGCGTTGTCAAGTTGGCCAATTGGTAAAGATAACAAAAATTTAAAACAATTAGTCCCTTTTATAAATTTGGATAGCGTTATTAGAAGACGGAGATTATCTGAGAAATGTGATGTATTGCCGCTATACATTCCAAACAATCTTATCACACATTTTGCTTCTCAAGTCGATATATATGAAAAAGTTAAATTAAACAAAGTGACAAAAAGAGGATCTAAGAATGATTAACACAACGTTTGGTAATCCAATCAAATAAGGATTACCAAGGTAGGTTAAGGGTAATAATAAATTGCTTTTGAATACACAGGGGGTGGGGGCTTAAGTTTATGAATGCCTTTAGCCTCGGCGTATTTCAATAAGCGCCCTTAACGGCTTTTATAGATGATCTTAAAGGCTAAGTTAACATCACTCTTATAGTTCATCTCGATTAGGTGTTTAGCTATAGACAAAGTTGGTTGTCTGACACCTGCATCTGTTGATTTTTCACAACTCATCGGTTTTTTTAGCCATTTTGGGATATGCTCTTCCTCACTTCGTCTTTTGTAAATTCTGGTTTAATAATACTGCTTTGATAAAGCTACTAGAATTAAATAGCGAAACGTCAGTGAAAACAACAACAATATCCTTTTGTTTTTCATTCATTAGGAAATACAAAATAAAACCTTCTTTATAATGAATATCATATACACAATGTCCAAATTTTTTCAAACTGTTAAAAGTGAAATTGGTTTGGACATATATAAATTATGTAGATGTCTAACGACAGATTCCTATTGGGCACATAGGACAGGTTTCAGTAAACAGAAGGAGAAACTTGTCTCTAACATGATACATATATATATATATATATATATATACACTTTAGTACTTCACTTACGGTATTATCCTGATCTTTTTTCTTACCATGACGCTCTTATAATACCCTTGATGACATAGAAAAGTGTGTTAAATTCTTTCGAGTCACTTTATGTGGACCTTTTAACAAAAAAGTAGATATATCAACTTACAAGAATTTCTTGCAGTGCACGTGTAGTTGTCATAGTTTTTCCACCAAGTGCCCATAAACGTCCAATTGTTGATGGTCTTGGCTTATTCATCATATATGCATCACATTTATAACTATCTGACACTTGATTATGAGACTTTCTGCAGTTGCTGAACTGTGGAGATTGATAAGACTGATCAGTAGAATGACCCTGATGATGATGATGATAAAAATTATGACTAGGATCTTGATTATTAATTCCGACTCTTTCCGGCTGCTGTTGTTGCTCCTGTTGCTGCTGAGATGAAGTGCTGATTGAATTTGGCTCATCAATCGACGCAGTAGACAAGGATGAGAAAGAAGACAGAGATGATGTTTTGGTGTCTGGTAAACGGTTCATAACACCACTAATATTATTATTATTATCTGCTGTAGTAGTCTTGACAATATGCGTGGAGTTGTTTGTCCCCGTATTATATTTAAGACAACATTCCATATTAGTTCTACGTTGAGTTTTATGCGTCTGCAAGTGAAGTGAATCTGATGAAAAGTGTACACGTAGTGCAGAGATAATTAAATGTATTGCCATAAGATCTTCTTGAAATAATGCTTCTTTTTCTAAAGCATCTATAAGGCATAGAAAATTTGTAAATGGTAATTAATCATATATCATATCAAGGCATGATTATAAGCAATAAACTGTGTTTCAATTCATGGATAACCCCCATACAGGCATTAATGAAAACAAAACACATAGATCAACGAAGAGACTCTTTTAGGCGGCGAATTCAATTTCTCAGCTGTACAATCGCAAATATATGCATGTGAGTTATTTTGTATGTATGTGTATATTAAGTTTGTCAAAAAAAATTACAATTGGTTTTGGTTATTTTAACTAAACAGGTGAAGATTGGTAATACAAGTCAAGAGAATTAGATGTTAATGAAATTAGGGTAGTAACAAAGGTGATGAGTTGTCACAAACAGTTGTTAAAAGAAGTTATGTAATATTATGAATAGCTTGATGAGTGAGTTTTACTCAGGATCCACATAGAAAAATAGTAGATAATACGAAATTACGTAATAGTTCTAAATGAATACAAGAATTATACGCAATTAAAAAAAACAGGCAAACAAACAAAATTATTATTATTATATTATTATTGTATCCTTTAGTTCCTAGAGGAACATAGGGCTTCAGCTGCGCACCTCCATTGACTTCGGTTTTCTGACAACTTTTTCACCCTGCTCCAGGTCTGCCCACATGCTTTCATCTCCTCTTCACATGACCTCCTCCAAGTCACCCTTGGACGACCAACTCGCCGCCTCCCTTTCGGGTTCCACTCGAGGGCTTGTCTAGTGATGTCACTTGATGGTTTCCTCAGCGTATGGCCAATCCATCTCCATTTCTTTCTGCCTATTTGTTTCACAATCGGTTCCTGATTGGTTCGCTCCCAGAGATCCCTGTTGCTGATCTTTTCTGGCCATCTGATCTTGAGTATTGAGCGGAGACAGTTGTTAATGAAGGTTTGAAGTTTGTTTGAGATGCTCTTTATGACTCGCCAAGTCTCTGATCCGTATAGTAGCACTGACTTCACATTGGAGTTGAAAATCCGGATCTTATTTTTGATGCTGAGTGCTGTTGACCTCCACACAGATTTGAGAGTAATGAAAGCTTGTCTTGCTTTTCCGATTCTGGCTTTGATGTCCTCGTCAGTTCCGCCTGTAGTTGAGACGATGCTTCCCAGGTAGGTGAAGGAGGTTGTTTCTTTCAGGTTCTTCCCATTTATGCTTATTGTGGTCTGTTGTTGCTGTTGATGTTGGCAAGGAATCTTCATCATCTCTGTTTTATCTATGTTCACGTGAAGTCCTATCTTTGATGCTTCTTCTGCCAACTTGTTACTTTTCATTTGCATATCTTCCAGTTTATGGGAAATCAGACATATATCATCGGCGAAATCCAGATCCTCCAAGTCTTTTGTGTCAGTCCATTTTATGCCTGTTCCCTCGTTGGTTGCCGTTGTCTGTCGCATTATCCAATCAATTGCAATCAGGAAGATCATTGGTGATAGTAGACAGCCTTGCCTCACTCCCGTCCTCACTTCGAAGGCTTCCGTAAGTTTCCCGTTGTGGATTACTTGGCATGCAGCATTGTCGTATAACTGTTGGATGAGGTGTATAATTGTCGATGGGACCCCGTAGTAGCGAAGTAGTTTCCAAATGACCTCTCGATCGACGCTGTCGAAGGCCTTTTCAAAGTCGATGAAGTTGAGATAGAGAGGTGACTGCCATTCCAAGCTTTGTTCAATGATGATCCGTAGAGTGGCGATTTGATCAATACATGATTTGTTTCTCCTGAATCCAGCCTGTTCCGGACGAAGTTTTTCATCTAGGGCTTGTTTGATTCTCTCCAGGATGATGCGACTTAGTATCTTGCTTGGAATGGACAGAAGCATAATTCCACGCCAGTTTTTACATTGACTTAAGTCTCCTTTCTTTGGAAGTTTGAATAAGTAACTGTTCTTCCAATCCTCGGGTACTTTGCCCTCTTTCCACACCTTCTCCAGTAGTGGTGTCATCAAGTCCGCTGTTGTCTCTGGGTCTATTTTCAAAGCCTCTGCTGGGATTCCATCTGGTCCCGGTGTTTTCCCAGTTTTAAGCATCTTGATTGCATTCAGGACTTCTGATTTCGTCGGGGGGTCAGTGTTCACTGGTAGTTCTGCTTCCGTTGTTGGTATTGCTGGACGTGTTGTAGGTGGCGGACGATTTAGAAGTCTTTTGAAGTGTTCAACCCAGTGCTTTCTCTGTTCCACCTCTTTGGTGATTGACTTTCCATTGTCGTCCTTTATTGGCTTAATCTGTGTCGAACGTTTGCCCGAAAGGTTCCTAGTTGTTTGGTAGAGTGTGGCGAGGTCTCCTTTGCCTGCAGCTTGTTCTGCTTCGTTTGCCATGGTTTCATAATATTTTCTTTTGTCTTCCCTGGCACTTTTCTTCACTCTTTTGTTCAGTGTATTGTAGCTTGCATTCAGCTCCTGTTTTTGTTGCTCGTCCGTGCACTGGATAATCTTTTGCTTCACTGTCCTTCTCTCTTCTATTAGTTTCCAAGTGTCCGTAGTGAGCCACTGTTTGTCCTGTCTCTTTTTTCTGCCTAGAATTTCTATGCAGGTTTGGCTCCACACCGTTTTCAAGTTGTTCCAGTGCTTTTCAACGCCGACCTCTTCGCTAGTGTTGATTTGTGTCTCGGCTTTGTCCTTTATGCTTGCAATGAAGATGTCCTTTGTAGCCTGGTCCTTCAGCTTTTGAGTGTTGAACTTGGCTTGTGGTCTATCTGCAGCTCCTGATTCCCTGAAAGCTTTTAATTTGATTTGGATTGTCCCTTGTACGAGATAGTGGTCTGAGCCAACGTCTGCTCCTCTTCTTGCTTTTGTGTCCAGTAGGCTGCGCCTCCACTTCCTTGAGATTGAGATGAAGTCGATTTGGTTTTTGGTTTGCCCGTCTGGTGACACCCATGTAGCCTTGTGGATATCTTTGTGCTTGTATACACTGCCACCAATCACCAGTTCGTTGAAGGCGCAGAAGTCGGCGAAGAGTTCTCCGTTTTCATTCATTTCTCCTAGAGCTTCTCTACCCATGATGAGTTCCCTTCCCGTATTGTCTGGTCCCAGTTTGGCGTTCATGTCTCCCATTAGTATTTTCATGTCGCCAGCTGGAGTATTGTCCATTGTTGCCTGTAGTTGCCTGTAGAATTCTTCTTTCTTCTCGAGGTCTGCGTTGTTTGTGGGTGCATAACATTGTATGATTGACACTTTCCTTCCTTTGGAGTTGAACCTGGCGGTCATTATCCTGGACGAAATCGCCTCCCATTGTATCAGGGCTTTCGTTGCCGTTGGTGACATCATGATAGCCACGCCCTCGGTGTGCGTGTGGTTATCTTCTGGGTGACCGGAGTAGATCACTGACTCACCTGTTGACAATTTGGTGAGTCCACTCCCATTCCATCTGCTCTCACATATTCCCAGCACTTGTATTCCGTATCTTTTCATCTCGTTGGCGATCTGGGCAGCTTTTCCAGTCTCGTACATAGTTCGAACGTTCCATGTTCCTACACAGACTTTTTCTTTTGGTGCAAGGAGGTTCAGCATACTGAAGATTCTGTAGCAATTTTTGTTTACAGGGTGGGGTTGCTAGCCTCACGCCTGAGAAAAGAATGATTACATTAAGTAAAAGTTTAGAGAGAAGCAACTTTTTGGGTTGCTCCCCTCAAAATCAGAAAATAACGGACAAACAATGAGAACAACATCAACAAAGGAAACAGTTCACAGAAAAAAGGGCAAAAAGCGACGACAACTATACAATAAGACAACATGCAATATAGTTCAGTACATATAACTAAAATGATATCTTAACCATAAACAAACAAAATTAAGCCACCCAAAATCAACAAAGTTGTTATCATGACAGTAGAAGTGGTTGAGTAATTCACTTTTGTATGCACAGCTCCAGTTTTTTTATATGAATGGCCAGAGCTTCAGCGATACAAAGAAGACGAAACAGTATTGCCTTTAGTAAGTTGTCCTTGACTCTGTAGATTACTTTGAAGGAGGCATTTGTTGAGATGGAATGATCAGTGTTAACCAGGTGTTGAATTTTTGCACTCCTTACAGCAGAATTACTGTCTTTTCGCAACCGTGCTGGATAGCGTTCTTTAATCCTCTTGGACAGAGTTCACAACCGATGTACCTGGTTCCACAGCAGCAGGTGAACTGATATATGCCCGTAGAAGTGGTCAAACGCGGGATCTTGTCCTTGAGGCTTCTGCAGATCAGTGGGCGACTGGAGAACACTATTCTTAGCGTTGCTGCAAAGAATGTCCTTCTCAGAGGTGATGTGATCCTTCTCTTGAGAATATTGCTTGCCAAATCTTCCTTGAAATACAAGTTCATGTAGAGTTTCTTTTTAGTCGCAGTTAAAGTTTCGTTACTCCGAATTCTTGGTTTGATATTTATGTCGATGAATCTTATTGAGTATCCATTTTGGATGAAGATTTCTCTTAGAATATCTAATTATGTTTCCAGCACTTCGGGACTACAGATGCGGGTGGCAAGTGATTGAATAAAATTACGCTTCTGCTAAATGTACACATACATACAAAATAACTCACAAACATATATTTGCGATTGTGCAGCTAAGAAAATGAATTCACCGTAAAGTGACTCTTCGCTGATCTACGTGTTCTGTTTTCAATAAACTGTGCTCGATCGTCATCAGTAAATATTACTGTATAACAACACTGTGAGACTTTATCAAAATAAATATTACCCAAAACAGAACATTTTCTCCTTCACATCCATAACATCAGCCGGACAAATACACTAAGCTCTCTTTAATGAGCATTCAACTAGGCCTTCCTATACCAGCCCCATCTATAGCAAAACGCTTGACTGATATGAACCACACAGAAATGATACTGAAACAGCTTTCAAGATTATCTATACAAATCGTCAAGTGGCTGATACTGAAATACGCTGTGGGCGATGGCTATCCGTAGACTGAAGCCCCCACCTCCCTTCTGTGTGAATTAAAACAATTTTTTTCTTTTTTACCAACCTGACTCTTCTTTTTCTGATTGTATTAATACGCGTATTGTTGGTGATTTTCGGAAATGTATTACGCAATAAACCATCACAGTTTTTGGACAATCTCTGTCTTTTAATAACGTTATCCAAATTTATATCTGAAAAGGACTAATCGCTTAAAACTACTAAATAAAATTACATTTTTCCCTGACGCTGAAGTTTCATCTCATTTTGAAACCACCTCTGAAGATAGTGTCTAGGAGGACATTGAAACCTTTGGTAATTTTGATTTGAATTTTGGCCACCCAGTTACAGCGGAATTTTTATTTATTTTGACTGACTTTAATTTTGATAAAACTTTAAACACCAAACATTAAAATATCGGCAAAACATCTGCAAGGATATGTGTCTCCCCAAGATTGCAATACACATCACCCAGTCTCAAAGTCAAGGATGTTTAAACTGGGCTATTCATACGAAAAACGGATCTCCTGGGGGACTGTAGTGGTTATACTCAGACTCTGTGGTTGTAAGGGAAGTTAATTCCTTAAAGGTTGCAGAGGCTCCCGACTCATGAGTGTCAGTAAGGACGAAATATAAGAGAGGAGGTTTCTTCTGACTGCCTTTCACCATCTAACGAGTATGAGTATTTCATGCTTCCTGTCTGTCGATTTTCGTTAGACGAAAAATGGTTGGTCTTTATCGACTCCTAGTGTAGACGCTTTTAATTATTGTCTGAAAAAACTGACATAAGAGTATTTCATTATAGTTGGCTAACAACTGAGTCTAGGATCCGTCTTTTTTGCTATTTGGAACTTCCGAAAAGGCAGTTACCGACTGGGCATGCATGCAGCCGATGAGTCCCAAGGAAAAAGATACTCGTGCCATGGATCCTACTGTTGGCCGCCATCAACTAAATAACAAAATGATTATTATGATTTACCTGATTTCTAAATAATTTTCAAAACATCTGAATCTCAATTTAGTCCATGATAATGAAATTCCTCATTTTCTAACTGCCGATTTTCTCCTTAACACACTTTCCTAACCGAGTAATCTTTCCAAAAACTCCAGTGAACTAACCAGTTCATGCATATTTATCCTGTTCAGCAGTATAAAATAAAGATATTTGAAAACGTTTTTCAAGGTCAACTAATCAATAAGCAACTAACCAATTAGAAGGCGAGGTGGCACTTGTGTCAATCGTACATGTCTTAGTAAACTGGCCAGTAAAGATTCACTTCCATCTGATTTACTAGTTGTCTTGTTTTCTTGAACCATTGCATTTCTTGTCCACCTTAAACAGGCAGCGAATACAGTGGCTTCATTGGAAACTCTCAACCGATCAGATGAAATCAGCGTAACAAGTTCTTTGAAAGTTAAATTTAGAAAATCTGGTTGTTGAGAAACGTCCGAGAAGTGTTCCTGCAATGATGATTATTATTAGATTAAAACAAAACAAATAAGCGCTTTGAAGAAGTGGGAATTTTCGCTTTTGAAGATTTTTCAAAAGATAACCTAGAGAAATTTAAAACTAGTATTGGTGGGTGTTTTGTATTCCTTTACGTTCCCGGTGGAGCATAGGGATTCAAGCTTCTTGGGCTTGAGTTGATAGTGTGACGCCCAACTTTCCCTCTTTACCTGTCTTATTACTGGCTTAACGAGGTAAAGGAGTTCGCCGACTGGGGATCGAGCCCCGGACCATCTACGTGGTTGACGAGCACTCTAACGCTGTGTCACCGACGCACAAGCTTTAGTGTGTATTTTGATTAAAAGCCATTTTTCAGTCAACTGTCACTGTATAAACTTTAGTCGAAGTGAAGTTAAACGAAAAACGATGTTCACATCATTTTTCTGTATTCCTTTGGTTCTAAGTAGAACGTAGCTGGTGAGCATTTTACCATTGGTCTAGCGATGCACAGTGATATCCTTAGTGGTGAAAACTGACAGAACCACACATAGTTATTACATGGTGGGCCGTAGCTAGCATTGGAAATCGGAATGCGCGTTCCTACTAACTTCGATACGTCATTTGGATGTCTGTACATCCCTAATGAGTGAGGCTATCTCCGCTGGGATTCAAAATAAGCACTTACCATTTGTAAAAAATTATATTTGTAAAATCTCAGCGATATTGAAATGAGTAATTCCAACATTTCGTTCGGCAATCTGGTCCGAACTTCTTCAGGGAAATTAATCGAAATTAACATAGCAGGTTTATATATAAAAGGAACATCTCTTGTTGAGTCATAAAACAAGTATTGACAAGTATAATAAACAAAATTGTATGAGCTGTGATCAAAATTTGACCTCAGACTTACAAATATTGATCTACCTTTGTTAAACACTTTAAACACAGTGTGTATATGTGTGTGGGTAAACAGTTGTAAAACAATTTCTTAACGTCTCCATAAGTAGATATAGACAGTCGGGAACTTTGACCAAGTATTATTAATTAGTGATACATATCCATTTTTATTTAATAATCAAAATTTCCTATGCATCAGGTAACATCACACCTTCATGTCTAATCAAACTGTTAGTATCTAGAATTTCATGATTAGACGTATTTTCAAGATTATGGTGTTTAGGATTAGAATTGAGTTGAAGCACCCTGTCAGGAAAGAAGACAAAGTGATAAGTTTTTATATATAAACCTCTGTTATGTTAATTTCGATTAACTTCCCTGAAGAAGTTCGGACCAGAGGGCCGAACGAAACGTTGGAATTACTCATTTCATTGTCGCTGAGATTTTACAAATATGATTTTTAACAGATATCTACTTCGCACTCGGCGCCCATATATTTTAGAACTATTGATTCTACGACAAGTTATCATCCACGAAAATTACGTGTATGACTGCTATCATTCGCATCATTAATAAATTTTGTAGTGAGAATATCTGAGAGAGACTTGAAGTGATACACCGCTACAGATGTAGTGGGTGATGAAGTTGAGATAAAAATCTGGATAGCGACAGGATTACAACTAGTGACCTCCTAATTACTAGTTTGACGTCCTACTTTAGCAGAGCTCTGGAACCTAACTGTCAGTTAGAGATGGTGATTACAGTGAAATGATAACCTGGCTAGCAGTTGAGTCTAATGACTCATCTGGTAGACTACCAAACTGGCCACTGGAAGGCTGCTGGTTTGAGTCCTGCTGCAACTTAGATTTTCATTTCACTTTTAATCATCACTCAATTCACTATTACATTTAGTACTAAAAGTGTGAGGGGATACACCGAATGTTAGTCATTTGTTGTCGAATCATAGTCATTGATGGAAATGTAAGGAAAGCATGAAGAAGACTGAACTAAAAATAACAAGATTCGCTGAGATCGTCTGCCTTTATTCTGTTAAAACTCTTCCATTTAGGGATAACTTAAATTTGACTAGTCGTTGGCAATTTATTGTAGTATTTCAGATTAAAAAAAATGTTTTAAATAGTTTAATTTGAAATCCAGAATGCATGTTTCATCGTGTTCGGGGTTCCTCACTGGATATGCCTGTACTCCAGTGGAACACATTGATCCCAATGAAACGTAAACCTAGCGTACATCATCTCAAACGTCAAAGCGCTATTCGATTTGATATAATTATTAGCAATAGTTTGTGCTCGAAACGGCATCAGTTAGTATTACTGTACAACACTGTGTGATTTATCAAAATAAAATCTTATCTATAATGGAGAAGCCTTCAAACTTAATAATTACTCTGATAAATTAGTAAGGAAATATGTAGGGTAATGTTAAAATAAAATAAATAATGATAGTAGTGATAGTGATAATAACAATAATATTAGTGACGACATGCATGTCAAATATGCGCAAGACAACACCAACAATGAGGAGTCTAAATTATCAGTAGTTATTCCATACAAGGAAGGAACCTGAGGAACCTTACGCAGAATTCTTAACAAGGCAGGAATAAAAGTGGCTGGCATTCAAACCCACAAACTCAATTAGAAAAAAGCTTCTTCCATTAAAGTATTCTGTGGAGACATTAAAACAAAACAACTTAGTTTATCTGACACCCTTTTGGAATGATTGTCAGGTCAAATAGATTGGTCAAAGTAGTAGAATAGAGTCAGTCAGACTAGCCGAGCATAAAAGCCTAGCAAAAGCTATACTCGTTAACTCGAATAAGATAAGAAATCTGGAGAATAGTTCAGCTGCGGCACTCACTACATGAAATTAGACACGATCATATAATCGGATGGGATAGGACGACAGTTTTAAAATCTAATGTCACAGGGTGGAGGAAGAGATTGATAACGGACGCTTTGTTTGCCGAATCAACTGCAAACTAACACGTGTAATAGAAATGATTCAACACCTGTCCACCGAGATATCTGGAAAATTCCACTACCACGCCTACGACGACAAATAGGAGAGGACAAAGAAAACTATAAAACTCAGGCTTCGAAGTCGTGTGATTATAACTGATATGATTATGAACGATAAATTTTGTTCGAAACCTTATCCAGTAAATGATACTATCACTCCACTGTGTGACAAATCAAATAAACAAACTAATGTAGAATTACTTACTACCACAGTGACCAAGTTTTACACATTCATTAACAGAAGCATCAAGTGGGCCATAATTCAACGGACTCTTCTAGATGGATGAATCGCTTGTGTAACCAAGATTAGTTACTGGTTTCTAAGCGAACTGTTAGCTCATTTCTATATTCTGAAAGCCTATTAGATATTTTATATATATGCTAGTCTTTTCTTTCTCACCAGTAAACATATTTTTCAACTGTTTCAGTTCTGAGTGGAACATAAGGCTTCAGTGGCGACGGTATTGTGTTATATTTACAGGTTGGCATTGCCAGCCTAATGCCCAACTTTCTCTCTATTTCAGCCTTATCACCTGCAAGGCATTTAGGAATGTGTTAGCCGTGAATCCAAACCGGATCTTTTGCCTAGTTGGAGAGCATTCTACCATTCAGCCATCAATATACTTTTGAGCAAAAACATTAATCACTTTTAATACTCTATACAATTGGTGGATGGTGGCTAGCAGTGGAATCCAGGATGCGCATTTCGTCCTAATTGGGACTCGTCAGCTGGATGTACCTGCATTTCTCAGTTAGTGATGATGTTCCCACCGAGGCTCGAACCCAGTTCCCATAGTTTCAAACGCCAAAGCGTTATCCAGACATCGTCGAAGCATCTGCACAAGAAGCCGACATGTCAACCTGAGACCAAACACTTCGGTCCAATCAATCGACGGGAAAATCAAGAATTCAATTCAATAACTTTTAATACTCATGTTTATTTATTTATTCAACTTACCAATACAAATTTTGTTGAACGTTTTCTCAACAAATGACAACCATACTGTTCACTTAAATGTGACATACTCAAGCAATTTGTTGCATCTAAACGTTTAGTTAAAAATCTTTCACATGCTTGTGATGCTTCAGTGATTTGTAGAAAACAAGCCGCTGCCAATAAATCACCAACTGTCTCTTCACGTAAATCTAAATGACCTGAATTAAGAAAAAATGGTGGTCTTATGTTTATATTTTAGAATGTATAGTTTAACATTAAAATACAGTGATTAACAATGGTACTTAGGAGCTATAAAATTATATACTCAATAGCAAATAGACATCAAGTATTCAAACGTGTCATCAAATGCTTACCCACAGTCATAGTTTTATAAAGGAGAAAAAAGATCTTCCTCTCTACAACCACAGGTGTAACATCCAATCGAACCTGGATACCACGCTGACACATAAATCAACTTTAAAGTCGTCTACAGAATACGTGGGAAACTTACTGAAAGAGTACTGGCCGAAATTCTTTAAACTGTAAAAGTAATGGCAATTTAAGTGTTAAATCATGAACTCTACATGCAAAAGAAGCTTGTTCAGTCACTAAATCTACGATGGACCTGGACTGTCTTAACGATAAATATGTATTTTCTTTCATCACCCTTTCCTTACCCTCACTGTTACTCAATTCCAGGTGAATTCTACTCAATCCCATTGATTATATTTTGTCAATATAAAAAATATCCCCATTTAGACATTTAGAAAACAGACAGATTGAGCGAAGAAATATTTGCTTTTCAATCAGATCCTCATCACTGGCTCTAGCATTTTAATTACAATACAACAGTTTGCCAATCAAGTGGCGATATGTTCGCTAACGATAATTAAACAGTGTCAAAATGTCAATGGGTTAATAATAATTAACGAAGAAAATCAATACAGATTTAAAAGGTAGAAATGGATAGAATAAATTAATTTTACAAGGATAACACGTAAATTAAAGATGAAGTGGTCAAAATAAATAAAAATAAATAATTTAGACAATTATAATTTTTATAGGTTTAGGGGGAGGGGGGCGACGTAGTCCTGTTTATGCATTCTTGTGACGATGGCCACGGTAGGGAAAGTGGTTGTACAAATTATTTCTGTACACATAGGCTTGGCTTCTTCAGATGAATTCCGATTGCTTCAGCCGTCTGTAGAAGACGAACTCGTAGAGCAAAATTAAGATAAGTTGGAATGCGATAAATAATTTTAAATGCTGTATTAACATCAATCTTATGCTCACTATCAATGAGGTGGGCTAAAATAGAGCTACGAATAGATCGTTTTTGTCCCTTGCTTAACCACGTTGGATGATGTTCGGAAATACGAAGATGAATTTGCCTAATTGTACGCCCAATGTATCTGGCTCCGCAGCTGCAGTCACACTGGTCGATACACATAGAAGAGGCGAATATATGTAGTTTATCCTTATTTCTCGAACATAAAATAGGGGTGGTTGTGAAGAGACAACGTACCTCTGCTGAATAATAAGCTCTTTTAACTGCATTCTTCAGGCGATGTGTTATTATTTCGCTGATGTTCTCGCCGAGGAACTGCAATTTTATGAACATTGGCTTTTTCGGAACTGTAGCCATACTGACTCTCCTTGGTGCTGACTTCATATTTTTCTCAATGAATTTATCCGGATAACCATTTTTTCTAAGTAATTCTCTAATAATCCATTCGTAGTTCTCTTTTAGCTCACCTCGTTGATACTGAGCATAAGATTGATGTTAATACAGCATTTAAAATTATTTATCGCATTCCAACTTATCTTAATTTTGCTCTACGAGTTCGTCTTCTACAGATGGCTGAAGCAATCGGAATTCATCTGAAGAAGCCAAGCCTATGTGTACAGAAATAATTTGTACAACCACTTTCCCTACCGTGGCCATCGTCACAAGAATGCATAAACAGGACTACGTCGCCCCCCTCCCCCTAAACCTATAAAAATTATAATTGTCTAAATTATTTATTTTTATTTATTTTGACCACTTCATCTTTAATTTACGTGTTATCCTTGTAAAATTAATTTATTCTATCCATTTCTACCTTTTAAATCTGTATTGATTTTCTTCGTTAATTATTATTAACCCATTGACATTTTGACACTGTTTAATTATCGTTAGCGAACATATCGCCACTTGATTGGCAAACTGTTGTATTGTAATTAAAATGCTAGAGCCAGTGATGAGGATCTGATTGAAAAGCAAATATTTCTTCGCTCAATCTGTCTGTTTTCTATATTTTGTCGCTCAATTTACCTGCTTAATTTTTTATTTTAGTTTTTACTCGATAAACGCTTTTTACATAACGTAATTTGTTATCTGAAACAAACATTTACGAAGCCTAATGATACACCTTTAGAAATGTTCCTTTTATTGCTAAGGTAATTTTGCTATACATATATGAGATTAGAACAAGACATATAAGCGAACAATATTGTTTTCAATTAGATCTTCTCCAGGCTTCACTCTAATTTTCATAGATTTATAAATAACAATTCTATCCAATGACACAAATAATAATAATAATAATGCGGTAGATGCTTTGAACTTCACTAATAATGATGATTATAATGACAACATCACCCAAGAGAGATGTCTATCGAAAACCTGCATATGTAGGACAATATACACATTTCCTCAGTTTTGTAGCAATCCGATACAAAATCAATTTGATCAGATACCTCACGAATAGAGCAAGACTTCCTAGAAAATGAGCTAAGATACATCCAAAACAACACTGGTCCAATACCCTGGGTTATCCTAGTAGACTTGTAAGGAGACACATGAACACCAAGTACAATAAAGAGAAACTGACAACAGTTAAAAAGAAACAACTGTTCATGAAATTGCAATTTAATGGGGACGTGGCTAGTGAAGTTTCACATCTGAGATTATTGAGAGCAATAAAATGGACTTATGCTGCCGCCACCCTCCGTTTGTCATTTTCCAGCCGACCAATTTCGATTGCTCAAGTGAAAGATAAGCTACCTAGCTGTGCCACTTCCATGTGTACCTTTTAAATTTAGTTGCTCCTGTGGAGAAAGCTATATAGGCCAAACAACTAGACGGCTTAACAAACGCATTAGTCAGCATCTTCCTTCATGGTTCGGAAAAGGTCAAATAAAATCTATAAGAAATTCTCTTTTGGCTCATTTTATTGATAGTGGTTACCAAGTGGACAAAAATAGTGCCTTCGAAGTTATCTATCGCATTCCATCGGGCCTTTCTAACGGAATTTGGATCCGTCTTTTACACTTGGCCGAAGTTAAGGGAAATAATTCGAGAGAACAGTCCTAGTCTTTGTATACAAAAGAAGTTTGTTCTACCTTTGTCTCTCCTTTGCTTCGCCTAGGTGAATTCTATTCAAAACCCTCCCACCCTTTCTTATTTTCCACCTCTTCCGTAATTTTACGATATTCATTTAGACCCTGATTATCTGTCCACTTCACCTTTAGTATTACGTCACTTTTAAGATTTGACCTAATTTATTTATTGAACTGTCTACATATACACATATTACCACCTTTGTTATTCTTATCGCCACTTGCATAAACCTTATTCTAGTTATTTTGTTACCATTATAATCATCGTTGGAGCTGGAAATCTTTCAAATCAATCATTAGTGTTTCCTAACCAGATTGAAGTGGTGTAAAGATTGGCTTCGAGATGAGAAGTTCATTTGGTTTAACTCAGTCCAGACAATCGAGTGACTTCAAATTACCCATATATATTCTGGTTAGCTACTTGGGCGAAGCGGAAATGTCGAAAATTAAACACCCAGCTTACAAGTTACGCAATTTCAGCTTGAAATTCATGACATTTCATTTTAGAAATGTTCTGATCGCCACAATATGTGATTTACTTAGTAGTATGGATAGCGTTGAAAAATGCAAACAAAACAACATGATAGCATATACTACGGATGGTTTGGTATCAGTAGTTGGAAACAATTCATGTTGGACAGTAATATATATTATTGTTTCCTTTAGCTCCTAGAGGAACATAGGGCTTCAACCGTTCACGTTTCCATTGCATTCAGTTCTCCGCCAACGTTTTCACCTGCCTCCCCTTCACATGGCCTCCTCCATTTTATCGTCACACTGATGACCAACTCGCCTCTCCCCATTCGGTCAGGCTCCACTTCAGCGATGGTCTGAAGTGTGATGTCACTCACTTGTTGGTTTGTTTTATCAAAGTATCGTCAATCCACCCCCATTTCATTCTGCATATTTGTTGCAAAATAAATCCCTGCTGGGTTGGTTCGTTCATTGCCAGAGACCCCTCCTTGTTGCCGATCTCTTCTGACCGGCCATCTGATCCTGAGCAAAGTAGTGAGTGAAGACAGCTGTTGATGAAGGTCTGTAGTTCGTTCGAAGTGCCCTTTGTGACCCAGCGCCAAGTCTCTGATCCAAATAGCAGTGTAGTAGTAGACGATAGTGTTAGCCAGTTATTATTTAGGGCATAAACCAGATGGCATAGTTTAGTAAGCTGGATGATTTCCGTTTCTCATATAGAATGTGGTGAATTCTCTCATGCAGTTAGGTAATTTACAACCGATGACGTCAATTCGATGACTAATCTTCATTCACTGAATAAAATCACCTCAATATAAACGAAAAATTTACAATGTTGTTTATGTTAAAAACATAAAACCACAAGAAATGGAAATAAATCATATAAACATAAAAATGGGATTAGTTTGAGAGCGAAATTCTTTTATTTTTCCGAATACATAAATCATATACAGTGACTAAGCGAGACGAAAATGAGATTTCGGTATATATATACGCATAGTAGAATCGTTGCTTTGCTGAACCATCCAGCAAAATAATATATTATCACAAGAAATAAACGAGGAGACCTCTGTTACTCTATTTCTTTAAGTTCCCAGTAGAGCATAGGACTGCGAACTTCAGCTTAAAAATTTTCAGTAGGAGTTGTGTGATCTTCACAGAGTGGGGTTGCTAGCTAGCCTCACTCTCAACCTCCCTTCTTTTATCAGCCTAACTCTCGGTTTAGCGAGTTTTTAATGAGCGCTTTGGCAGCTGATCGAACTCCCAGACAACATGAGTTGTCGTCAAGCCCTCTATCTCAGAACTATCCAGTGACTTAAAGTGATTCAGCTGTCTAGCCTGTGTCATTCACATTGCACCACTAATGAGCTTGGTCTAGAAGCAGTGAAATGGCTATCAGATGTTTTTTAATTCCTACGATCTAAGAAATGTTTGGTTTCTAGCAACTCAAATCAATCAGTATATTGCATGGAGGATTTCGTCATGAGCTGATGTCAGTTTGAGAACCACTGGAAAACCTGAGAGTACTGGATAGCTGTTTCGTCCTTGTTTGGGACTCTTCAGCAGTACTCTTCGCCTTGTAGCCAGAAGGTCCTGGGTTCGAACCCTGGCGGGTGCGTACTTCTGATGAGTACTCCTAGGTTTTACAATGGTTCTCTAAGTGATATCAGCTCATGATGAAAACCTCCATGCAATAAAACGAAATCCCTATAAAACCAATACTTGAAAAAACATCAATCAATCAGTGCATAATAAATAAAACTACCTGTATAAATATAATTGATCAATGCTTTCAAGGCATACGGATCAACTTCATGAATCCATATTTCTTGTTCTGTAGCCTCTTTCAATTCATTACTAAACATAGCAGCGAAATAATCACTAGCTGCAGCTAATATCACACGATGTGCAGGTATACGAACTATCAACTCATCAGGTAGACTACTTAAATCCATTTTAGTAGTTGATGAATAATTATGATCAGAAATTAAATTTACACATTTTGTATTCATCAATGATGTCGATGTTGATGTTGACTTGATACCAGCTAGTAGAATGACATCAGCTAGTCGACCATCACGTAATTTATCAGACATACGACCAAGTAGTCTAGACGCATGATTCATTGGCATAAATTGTTCTAAAGCACCACATGATGGACTGATTGGTATAGGATCAGAAATAAAAAATGTATTATTATTATTTTTATCTAAAGATGATTTATCTTGACAAGTTGATGATTCATCGTTGAATGAATTATTCATTGGAACTGGGAATGATGATAATGTTTCGAATTCTTCATCTATACTCCCTTGGTTAACATCATCGTCACCGTTATGATTACTGTTAGCATTCTTATTCAATAAATTAGGGGAGTGTTGTTGTTGTAAAAATGAGGTTGTCATTACTTCATGATTAGATATAGTCTCACTGGAAGAGGTCATTGTGGCTGGTTGTGATGTATTTTCATATGATTTCAATCCTCTTCTTGTTGAAAGTGTACTATGACTACGTGAATGATGACCTTCATTTGTACTGATAAATTGCCTTGACTGGTTACTAGATATTATATCATAATTGTACGGATAATCAATCATACTTTGTTGCATAAAATCAATTTTAGTATACGGTAGTAAAGATGAAGAAGGACCAGGGATCATACATGATGACAAAGTGACATTTCTTTTCAGGTCGGTTTTATTCATATGACTGCCTTTTTGATGCATAATTAATGAACTAGTACGTGTTGGTAACACTGGTGGATCCATATCAAGGCTAGAATTGTGCTGTAAAGTTGATTGTTTTTGAGGAGAACAAGTTGAATGACAATCTTCAATTTGATTATTGATTATTTCTGAATTGTTTATTAGTACTTTGGGACTTTGTGGTAGTTTTGTATACTTATTATTGTCTTTCATGGGAATATGGCAATCATTGTTTCCATCGTCAGCACACAGGTGTTGAATGGTGGTGTTTGGCGCTTCGATGTTGTTTGAATTCACTATTTTAGGTTTAGATAGATTGGTAACACCTTCAAAGCTATCTGGTTTGTGATTGTTACTAATAATACTGTTGCTAACATCGTCATTATTATTGTTACGCGTTGACAGTTGACTATGACAGTGTTGTGGAATCATAGAATTCAATAACTCTGAATAACTCATTGTTAACCTTGGATTATTATTATTATTACTATTATAAGTCTGTATTTGTTTGACTGACTTATTATTATCAACTAACAAGTTACTGTTACTCTTATGATGATGTTGTTGATATTGACCTGGAAGAGGATCATGGTGTTGACCGTGATCATAGCGTTGATGCTGATGGTGATGATGATGATGATAACGTTGTTGTAGGTTGTGACGTTTATAGGGATAATCTGCACCATGAAATAAACCATATCTATTCTGTCCAAAATGATACGGCATACAGTGTAGTGGGTAAGCACTTCCCAAACTACCTGAACGAACTTCATTTTGTCCAGTGGATAGATCTGGTACTGTAGGGATTACTAATGTTGAACCGTACAGCTGAGAAGAATAATTCACTGCTTGAAATATATTTTGATTACTTGTATTACTTTTGTTAACAGTAGTAGTATTAGTAGTAGTATTTTCAATATTTTTAGAAATTGTTCCTGGATTTTGATTAAAAAACTGTGAGCTATCACAACAATAGGATACTGAGGAGGTTTTATCTTCGCGTTGTGATTCATTACTGTGGAGAAATTGGAAGAGAAAAAAGGGTGAACAAACGCAGACTTGTAAATACTCAGAGGGTACCAAAACTTATTCGAATTTATTGAATTTGAGTTCAATCAACTGGTGATAACTTTGCTTTATTCCAAAAGCAGTACTAATAATACAGCAAGGAATTTTCAGCATTCAGTACAATATTGCATCTAATTTACTCAAAACGATAAAAAACATTACACATTAATAATAACAAAACGTTGTTATAGAAGCTATGCAGCAAATTACAGTATGCGATAAGGAGAAAAATATGTATAAAGTATAAAGTTGTGGTAATAATAGTAATAACAACTAAAATAAAATAGCTAAGATATAATTAAATGATAGAAAGAGTGACACCATATAATACAGAGAGATGAACAATGAAAGTGTCGATTCAACTTGCTAATTACATAGTAACTTATATGTTCCCGTCTAACAGTGTCTCCATCACATAAAATACGGGCTAAATAGGGTCTTGTAGAATTTTTGTACTTAGTGGTGCAAGCATATAACTTTTTATATTGACTTCTCGTCCTACCTGATGAGATACAAAGGGATAGTTGTGAATAAAGGGGGTGCAGGGGTCTGAAATTATGGCCTTTGCCCATTTTGTACAGGAATTTATGTGTCTCTCGACTATAATATTGGCGAGCTCACGCAGTGGCATACCACAAGCCCTACTCACAGTGTCTAATGCCCTTCGTAATACGATATAGTCTTTTTTGAGAAGCCCAGGAAAGATTAATGGAGAGCGATAGAGTACAACAGGTAGAATACAGGAGTTTAAAAATTGCAAAACTAAAGGTTGGTTGATACCTGATTGTCTTAACTTTTTAATGCAGAAGATAAGACGACAGATTTTCTTAGAGATAGATAAGATGTGGGATGACCTTGAAAGGTCAGAGGAAAGAACTAATCCAGGGTATTTAATGCTTGACTTGGTTTCGACTTCAGTGCCATCTATGCTACAAGCATCATGGAAACTAACTAGTTCATGTATGTCACGTCGATGCTTGAAAGTTCAGTTAACTGCCTGACATTTGGAAGGATTTTGCATAAGACCATTTGACTTAGACCACTTGCTGATGGCCAACGGATTGCTATTAAGTTTGGAGCAGTCAGACTCGGAGGTGATAGGCAGTGAGTGATACAGTCAGATCATCTGCATATTTGACAAAGTTAGTTTCGTTTAAATGAGGCTGTTCGTGTAGGAAGGAAGAAAAAAGAAAAGGAGAGAGGACAGCACCTTAAGGAACACCGTATTTTGTAAGCGAGGCAGAAGAAGATTGGCCATTATATACAGTATACTGCATTCTATCAGAAAAACAAGAATGCAACCAACTCTTTGCCCAGGATCCTGTTTGTGTTAACGAAAGCTTATTTAATGAAAGGCCCGTAGGTACAGAGTCAAAAGCAAATGTGTAGTCCAAGAAAGCACTACGAACATATTTGGAACCTTTGTCTAAACAAGACAACCGCAGCGTCCAATGTACTTCTACTATGTTTATATGCAAATTGTTTAAGATCATTAAAAGGTTTCAAAGAAGGTTCATGACGAAGTAAAAGTAATTTTTCCATCAATTTTAAAAAAGGAGAAGTAACTGGAATAGGCCGAAATCTAATATCAGTATCAGAAGATGGTTTTGGTATGAGGATAATTTTATTGTTTTTCCATGGAAAAGGTGGAACGTTACTGGAAAAGGAAGCATCTCAAATTAGTGAGAGGGTAACAAAAAATATCAGCACGGTTCCTGAGGACAATGGCAGGTACACCATCATGAACAAGGCTTTGGGAAGGCTTAAGAGACCGGAGATATTTAACCACATCAAGGGTATTAAAACCACTAAAATTATTGTCTACATGATTTGTAACATCAGGAAGGATATAGACAGAAGAAGATATGAAAGGATTATTTAGAGTATCAGCATTAATAGATGGGACAGAAGTACATCGCTTACCGCTAGTAATTTCTTTGAAAAGTTTCCACAAACTAGAGGGGGTTTTACGTGACAAGAATCTTTGGTTATATAAAACATTTAGTCTTTGCATTTCGATTTTTATCAGAGTATTTAACTTTTTTTGCACCTGACTTATTATTTGTTTTGAACAACAGTTCTTTATCTCTACGTAGCTTTTTGAGATATGGTGAAGAAAAACGGTCAAATCGAATGAGTAATGTTTCTTTAGGACAACATATTTCGAAACAGAATTTAAGATAATCAGTAGTGTTTGTGATTGTGCCATGTAATGTTTGTTCTGTAAATAAGTCCCAGTTAGTGTCTTTCAACATGCATCTGAGCTTGTCTAGGTTGTCTTGCGACCAGCATCTCCGTTGAAATTTATGCATACAGAACGAGAGTGGGAACAATCTTCCACCCCCCTTAATAACTATATTTTATTTTTTAAGTATATTTTTTGAATAAAAATCGTCTATGGTATTAATTTTAACTCACTGATCTAATCTCGATCATATAAAGTAACACGCGAAGCCTTTTCAAATGATATAACCGTTTCTTTCGTCACCTCACCTCGAAAAGCTATGTAGAGGAAACGAACAAACACGAAAATTTAGTCTCGAAACGACTAACATCCTAATCAAATCCGAAATCCAAACTCTGAATACTACTCTGCAACCTTGAAGACTTTTATTACGTAAAACTCCCTATAGCATATGGAAGCTTTTCAGCTATGAAATTCTTATGCGAAGAGGAATCTCAAGACAGAATTACCTTCCTGGATGTCCTACGTACAAAAAACCCAGATGGTAGCATATAAATAAATTTGCATACAAAAAGTACTTGGACAGGACAATGTACACATTTTCACAGCTTCGCTCTTATCAAGTATGAAAAAAAATTTAGTGAAGACCCTCAACCACAGGGTTAGAGCTATATGCTCAGAAGAAGTAACTGAAGATGAATTAAGCATGGTATATGATATTTTGATCAGAAATAGCTATCCCGACAGATTTATCAAGAAACACATGACAAAGAAAACTGAAAAGGACTGCTCGCTGTCTGTAAACAAGAAGCCTTTTTATATACGACTACAATTCATGGGTGATACACCAAGTAAGATAATTACGAGGAAACTAAGAAAATCAATTCAAAGAACTTTTAATGCTGACGAACTACACTTCTTATTCTCCACATGATCGATGGTGATTCCTCGACTGGAAGATGAAGTATCTAGACTATTCAGCCACTTTTAATTGTATCTAACAGTTCAACTGCGCTTGTGGAGCGAGTTAAATTGGCCGTTGCTCTAGGAACTTGATTTTTCTTGTTCTCACTGTGGTTCTCTCCAAACAGCAGAGGCTGTTGCAATTCGTCTCAAACAAGCAGTCCTCTCTGTTCAAAAGAAGCAAGTCCAGCCAGTACTACTGCCCTGGTCGGTCTTCAGTAGAGACTATAAATTCATGAATTTATAATATTATCTTTCCTAATTTCTCTGACATTCAGTTTATTGTTATGCTGATGCTACTGAGCTGTAATCTATTGATATTATTGATTCGATGTTATTTAAACAGCAACATTAATGTTGTTCATAACACTAATTCATTCCTTCACTGTAATGTATAAATAACTGTGGAGCCTGATGATGAAGGGGTTATCGCAAAGAGTATGCTATGTTTAGTATCCATTCTTTTGAAAAACTACTAGTGTTAGTAGACAAAGTACTACTGTTCCCTCTTTGCACGTGATTAGACCTAATAAGTATTTTATACGCTCTCTCGCTGACATTATCATTCCCAATGTTATAAATGATAAGGTTAGCAACTTTTAGGGTCTTAGTGTTCTTGTTGTTCTGAAATGTCTGCAATTTTTTAAAAACCTTCACAAAGCTTTGATCATGATGATGTACCTGCTGTTGTTCTCAAAAGATATATTGATTGATTATTTTACGTTAACCTGTTAAGAATACCTTCAATTCTTCTCTTTCCAATAACGTCTTACTCATAGAGTTGGAAAAACATTAGAATTATCTCGGTAGCCAAATCATGTTCCAGTATGAATGTTAAATTTAGATCTATTGCAATACTTCTTCTTTTGTAAAGTGAATGGAAAAATTACTTTCAATCAATCTTGAACCTTCTTTAAAAAGTTTGAATGACCCTAGATAGCTTATATGTACAAACAGGGCAGAAATGATTGAGATGCGGCTGCTGTTATCTGTCAAAGTGTTGTTCACTCTTAAGACAGAGGAGACAAATATGTTCGGTATAACTTCCTTGGGTACACATCCGCTTATAACTCTGTGCCCAGATATCTTTTGTTAAATAAGCTTTCCTTTACACAAATCGAGTTGTAGGCTGTTAACTGGTTGCATCCTTATTTCTCTGATAGAGTGCAGTATACACTGTATATAAAAGCATATCTTCCTATGTCTTGCTTATTGAAGCTGTAGCGCCTCAGGGTGCCTTTCTCCCTCCTCCTCTGTTTGCTTTCTTTTTATAAGACTTACCTCTTTAGGAATAAATCAACTTTGTTAAGTACCTTGATGTTCTGACTGTCTGGATGCCAGTCATGACTAGATCTGACGGTTTCACACTAAATAGCTTTTTCAAGTGTCAGTTTGCACGGATTCGATTGATTTTAGGATTTCATCATCAACTGACTTCGGTTACAGGACCACTGAAACACCAGTTAGGAGTACTAAACAGCTGTTTCATCCTAGTTTAGAGCTCTTCATCAGTGCGCACCCAATGGCAGAAGCTGGAATTCATGGATCGCTGGAGTGGGTCCCACTGGCTCGCTCACCTTGTAACTGGAAGGTCCTGGGTTCGAAATCCATTGGTGGATGCGAACTGTGAAAAGTCCCAAACTAGGACGAAATAGCTGCCGATTTCACTCCATGAGGAAATCATGAAGTAGCTTTTCACCAGACATAAGGCAGTTGTTCAAGCTAAATGGTCTTACCTTGAATCCCTCTAAATGTCAGACAGTCAAATCCACCTTCAGGCAGTGAAAGTCTTCTAGACGAGCTGGTTCACCTAAAAAGACGTTTGTAGCATAGAGGGCACTGAAAGAGTAACTCGGCCAAGCAATAAATACCCTGGAATAGTTCTTTCCACTGAACTATCTTGGTCATCTCGTATCTGATTGATTTCTGAGAAAATGTTTCGTCTAAGCTTCCACATCGAGAAGTTAGGATAATCAGGTAGGTACCACCCATCCTCTAATTTTACAGTATGTTCACTCTTCCATCTTACCTATTTCTCCTTGTTACAAACCCTTAGTATTTCATGTACTGCTCAGAAAATAACATGTCATGTTGCGAAGAGTATGAAAGGTTGTCAGTAGAACAACTGGTGGATCACTTAGTCAGCTCGTTACCATTGTTATCAGGAGACACTTGAACTCATGTGAGAAATGGTATAAATCCATACTGTCTGACTTTCAACATCCTTTCTATTCACAACTCTCCCCGCCTTGCATCTCATCAGGTAGGCTTGCACAACTAAATATAAGACGTCAATCACATTCTTTAGGGCTTGCGTTCTGTGAGATGGAGAAAGCGTTAAACATGAAACTTATAACAACTTACTATGTAATTATTTATTTCATTTTTTAAGATTTTTGATTACAGCCTGATTCCACACCGTATTTTTTCTTGGTACAGGTAGGGAATTTTCAGAACGTGATATCGGTAGCCCAAATTTAGCAGGTCGACCATAGATATCAGGTGTGCGTCGGCATTTCTAACAGGCCACTGAAGACATTCATCAATAGCTGCCCACTTCGTTAGCTGCATACTAAAGATCGGATGGCCAGTCAGAGAGAATTGGCAACAAAATCTCTGCAGTGGAACAGACCAACCAAAAACATATTGCTCAGCAGATATGTAGGACAAAATAGTCATAGATCGGACACACGCTGAGGAAACCATCGGTTGACACCACTTGGCCAGCCCTTAGGAAGAAACTGAGTTAGAAACGATGAGTCCGATGGTGTAAAGGAGATCGTGTGGACAGAGAATGAAAGCTTATGGGTGATCGTGGCGCCAGCTGAAGAGGACTGCAGAGAACAGGATAAAATGGATGTGTTGTTAAAGCTCCATGTTCACCTTGGAACCCAAGAGAGTAACAGTGATAATAGAAGTAATCCAACTGTGTGACTATATGCAGGACAATGCACTGTTATAGGCGAGTTTTTCTCTTAGATAACTTTGTAACGACAAAGCATACTGTCATTTAGTAGCGAAATTATCTATTTGTCAAAGTGATGTGCAGTGATGGCAGTATATTAAAACCGTACAAAATTATTTGTATTCTGCTTCGACTGTTTTCATTTCATGCTTTCTATCTGTTTTCAAACGGATCTTCATTTCTACCTTTTGCAACTAAATCAGTCGCCTTGCCATTCTGGATTTTTTCAGAAAATGTCACCAGTATACTAAATATACAAATTTTTGTCTACAGTACACGTAACATCTTAACCAAGAGGTTTCTATCATTCTAGACTTAACTTTGCCCCTAAATACCAGCGTTCCTAAGTGCGACAGTAATTTACCCTAATTCAATTATCTGCGATGTTATCACTTCCTTCAAGAAAGTCTTCAGGTACAGCTTATTGAGGAGTGCTAACGAAGACAAAATTTGAAAGGGAGAAAAGTATTTCAGCTATCAAGCCAAAAAAGGTTTTTTTTATTCCGAATGATTAAACCTTCTAGACTACACTATAAACTTCGTCATTGCAATGCAGTCATTATTATTACTATTATTGCTCCCTTGGATTCCAAGATGGACATAGAGCTTCAACAACCCATTTCCTTTTGGTTCTGTTCTCTGCTGTCCTCTTCAGCTGCGCCAATGATTGCCCACAGTCTCTCATCTCCTCCTCGCATCACACGATCTCCTCCTTCACGCCACCCTTGCATTGACGATCCACTTATCACTTCCCGTTAATACATTCAGCAACTAGACCATAAACCAAAGTATCTCTAAAACCCCTTGTATGCTGCATTATCAAAACATACAAAAGAATGCTTGCTAATCATATTTATAGGGAATAACAAGAAGTGAAGGATTCCATCATGAGCTGAAATCAGGTCTCAGTGGCTCAATGGTCTACGAGCTCGCCTTGTAACCAGAAGGTTCTTGGTTCGAACCCCGGTGGGTGCCTACTGATGAACAGTCCCAAACTAGGACGAAACAGCCATCTGGCAGTACTCCCTGAAAGGTTTTCTAGTGGTTCTCTAACTAATGTCGGCCCATGATGAAAGCCTCCATCCAGTGAAATAAATCCCTGAGAAAAATCAATACTGGAAAATGACAAGGAATGTTTGCATTGGTCCAGAAGGCCATATACTACTGACTGACTAAATGATTGACATCAGTATATGTATGGCGTGTCCTACTGAGAAGATTTTGTACATAGTACATTATTTGATATTCTTTTCAAGAGCTCTTAATAACGAAAAGATCGATTAAATAGCGATGAGGACAAACGAGAGATCCTTGTGAAATAACACACAGAAAACACATCAGGAAGACAAAAAAGTAGCCCAATAATGGCGAATATGTGCAAATAGTGAGTTTAGTATAGGGTATATATACATTTTACCATAACTATACTGCATTTTGGTCCATAAAACATTTTGCTACCAACTACTATTTTATGTTCTGCTTTTATAGTTGGTCACTACTCACATCTGTTAGCTATTTGGTGCTTAAATGAATCCCTTCGAACTGCTTACAAATCACTAGTATAGTACACTGTCATGCATTTACGTTTGCTTTCTTGATTTCTGTTCATGATATATAAAAACAGATCATATATTACATACATATATCGTGATCTGAACCATTTCAGTATCCTGAGAAAGAAACAATGATGAAATTTCCCCTCTTACAGCGTGTAGATTGCAACGTCCAATTGAATGAATTCATTTGAACGCCTTTTGTATTACGTAACTCCACCACAAAAAACTTAATAACTGTATTTTCGTTTGACATAAAATGGTATACGAGCTCGCCTTGTAACCAGAAGGTCCTGGTTTCGAATCCTGGTGGGTGCGTACTGATTTACAGTCACAAACTAGAACGAAACAGCTGTCCAGTACTCCTAGGTCTTCCAATGGTTCTCTAACTAATGTCAGCTCATGATGTAATCCTGTAACCAGTCAATCAAATCCATAGAAACCAACACTTGAATAACCGTGTATATATTTGCGATTGTACAGCTATGAAAATGAATTCGTCGGCGAAAAGAGACTCTTCACTGAACATTACTGGTCTTCTGTCTATCAATTGTGAATGAATATTTACATGTTTTTATTTTCAAAAGACGGAAATAATCAATTTTTACTTACCGATTCATATGATTCCTTGACTGTTCATCACTGTTTGAACAACATACATGTTGTCTAGATTGATGCTGTTGTGCATTTGGATCATGATGACGATGATGTTGGTGAGGCTGAGGATGATGATACTGAAGATGATGGTGATGTTGATTACACATGTGACTGTCTTTTTCGTCTACTGAGTAATTTCGTGTTTGTTCTTGTAAAATAGGAGATGCTACAGCTGAGCTACCACTTGATTGTTTACAAGCTTTACCATAACACAATGTTGGATTATGTATGCATGAGGGTGATAAGTGTGGTGTCAGCTGATTACTATTCTCTATCCTATTATTATTATTACAAGTAGACGAGGAACAATTTGGTTGACTTGAATTGATACAATTCACATGACATTGACATGCTGATTTTGTCGTCTGAAACTGTTGTTGTTGTTGGTGATGTTGCTGTTTTTGAAATCTTTTATCCCTGGAATTATTATTATTATTCGGTGAACTGCTCTGTCTACGACGAGTACCATGTTGTCGAGGTGAGGTAGCTGTTGTTTTTATAACCGGGATTGATGTCGGTGTCTGTGTAGCAGGTATAATTGTTACTGTTTTACTTCGATACTGTTGATCGCGATGTTCACATGGATTTGAACACTCTGGTCGACTATTCATCTGATTAATTATTTCTTCCTCTGAATTATTGTCATTATTGTTATTACTGTTTGAATCATTTGAGCTCAGTGATCGTTTGCGTTCACCGACTAATCTGTTTTTTACTTGACCAGCTAAATTACGTATATTACACGTTAAACTCATGAACAAATTTGCTCCGATAGTAGAATTTGATGATAATGCTAGTTGAAGCAATGATTAAAGTTAGTAAATGTTTCCACAAAAAAGCAACATTTATTCAATGTGTGCATCTAATCAATACTATCTGGTACACAGACACCCACCTATTTGGTTTAGCAAGCAGTTGTTTAATTTTTCTATCCATCTAACTAACTATCTATCTGTTCATGCAGAAGATGATATTCACATGTACACACATGCATTTGTATATGAACTACGTACAGTACTGTCTCGAAATAGACATGCTTTTGTGTATGTGTGTGTGAGTGCGCTTGTCCGGTGCTATAAGTTATTACAATTTATCTCTAAAACACAACGAAACCTGCAAACCAGAGAAATCTTCTCCTGTGTTGCCTATCTTCCTTATCCAATGAACTACACCTGTGATTGGATGTTGGCAGTATTTTTTTTAATATGTGCAGCCATGTGCCATTTTTTCTTTGAATGTTGTAGTCAATTTATTCACAGAAAGTGCTTTATTGTATCTGTCTATCATTGAGGATATGTACAGTGTGCCGTGTGTAGGTAATTGTCTTTACCTTCTGATGGTCAACACAAAAACTGACTAACTAACTGAACTGGTCAGAATTTTTATTACCAGACAATTGGAAATTAGAAGAATATTTTTTTTTTCATCTGGATTTATTGAATTTATGATTCAGTTCAATAATAAGTACATGGGTATTATTCAGTGATATGAAATGAAAGCGGTGCACTTGACCACAACAAGTAAACTGTTAAGTCACACCATTCCATTATGGGTAAAGTTTCATAGTGTTTCTTATAAAGTAATAATTACTACTTATGACCACGTTCCGAGCACAATTTATTACTCCTCATAATCTAATATCAAGACACTAATCATACAACTTTCTATCTTCGTTTATATAATTCCTTTATTTTCCATCGCTTGACTCGGTCAGTGGTAGAGGTATTTCCGTCTTTCTGGTATGAGTGCTGAGTCTCATTGTATCCTATTGCATGTTTTGGGTGTAGACTCGATGATTTCACTAGTAGAGGGAAAATGCACAAACAGCGAAGAAAATTTTCTTTTCGACGATTCATTTTCATGAGCTGTACAATCGTAATTATAATTAATACAGAAATCTTTAGACCAATCAGATAATGGTGAACTCTGTCCTTGAAAATTCTACTACATAATGTAAGGTGTAAGAAGGAATGATTAATTGTAAGTTGGAAAGGAGACAGATGTTGGCATGTCTTACCCAGTGTGAGATAATGACTAATCAATAAGCTCATGTAGAATGGACAGGAACAATGTTATTAATAAACAGTAAAACAGTGGTAATAAAATGTGGATTTTGGGGATACTAATGATGGTAAAAGTATTAAGAACAGTAATAATAGTGAACATACATAATAAAAAAGAAGCAAAAATATAGTTGTAAGACCTCTACTCTGACCATGGTAGGGCGAGAGAATGTATGTATCGCTTTTGAATGCACAGGTCCGGTTTCAGGTCTCGAATAGCTAGTGCTTCAGCTATGTACAGATGGCGTATCCGGAGTCCTTTTGTACGATATTGAGGGACTCTGTGTACTACTGTGAAGCATTCATGGGGGTGGGGTGCTCGATGTCCGGAGATGACAAGGTGTTCGAGGATCAATATGGCAATATTTCGTTCATGATAGAGGGAATAAAATTCACATTTGAATCGGAAAATGAACATAGAGAATTTGCTATGGTGTTAGAGTGTGAAATAAAGCGAATAGAAGAAGGTAAACTGCACACTAGCGGCGTTTGTAAAAAGCCAAGACAAACTGCTAATAGATATATCGACTTTAATTCATCTCATCCCGTAATCTGTCTGTGAAGGCTGGCTCAGTTAAGTGTTTGTTTAATAAACTGAGCAATAGCATTAAATAGTACCAGAAAAGACCTAACTGATGAAGTGAAACAGATAGGAGAAGCTTTGATATCAAATAAATATCCTATAAAATTTCTCAGAAAGATCAGGAAAGGTTGAATGCAAAACAAAAATAATGGGGAAACTAGTAATGAAAAAATAATTAAGAGAGAATATAAGGCATCTACTGTTGTACCATATAAGGCGGGAGAAGATATCCGAAGCCGTACGTAGAATTTTCAATAAAGCAGGAATTAGAGTGGCATTTAAACCTACAAACTCACTCAGGGACAAGATCTGTAGGTTAAAAGACCCTGTCGGTTGATCCAATTATACAAGCTAATAGAATTCAAAATACCTTGCAATGACTGTCAGTGTGGTCAACTGCATAAACCAAACTAGTAGATCAGGTGTAGTGAGATTATCAGAACATAAGAATATAGCTAAGGTAAGAATGATTGACCCCACGAAGATAAGAAATTTAGAAAAGAGCTCAGTATGCATTAACACACAACCACACATTAGGGTGGTAGGAGAGGGTTACGATTCTAAGAAGTAATCTAAGTAGGTGGAGAGAGAGAGAGCTTGATTACTGACTGAATCCCTCTTGATAGAGTCTTCACCCAAAACATGCAATAGGATGCAATGAGACTCAGCACTCATACCAGAAAAATGGAAAATACTACTATCAATCATCAAGTCAAGCGATGAAAAGTAATGAAATTATTTGAACGAAGTTAGAAATTTGTGTGAGTAGTGTTTTGATATGAGATTGTGAGGAGTAACACATTTTTCTCGAAACGTAGTCATCAGTAAATATTACTGTTTGACAAACACTGTGAGACTTTGTCAAAATAAATTTTATCCATAATGGAATTATACTCTATCACTGCAGTGCACAAGTTTAATTCTTATATCAATGACACAAATCAATTTCATTTTCATACAGCCGTGCAGCCATAACTATATAACAGTAATAGGAATTACCGTACTAAACATTCCGCAGTCAATGTATATATGATACCAATGAAGATAATTTCTCCATATTTTCTGCAGCAACTGAGCTGATTTTCCTTGGGTTGGATGTCTCAACTAACCCCCAATCTTCCCAAACTTTCCGAGCTTCGGTCTGGAAACGACTGCCTGGACGTCTGAGAGTGATGTGTCCACTTCTTCGCTTCACCAATAAATCCAGCTCTCTAGTATTCAATATGGTTGGAGATAATATACCTACTTACATCGCGATCTATAAACTACTTATAAATCTTGTCAGTAGCACACTGTGCAGTAGTCGTAGTAGTAGTGGTGAAAAAGTTATCAGTGACACGACGAATCTATGTTGATATACCCATTTGGATGAACGGAGTTGCACACAGATTCGGCCAACATTCCTCCAGTAACTTAACAAGCATTCGTATTTCCCAGACTGAAATAACGGCTGGTAAGCTTCTTCACGTAGAGTTAGGCAATAGTTCGTGATTACTGAATTGTGACTGAGGGGACTTCCGTAAGAAATCGTGGTTCGCTCTTGTGTAAACCCAGTATACGTTAAGTTTAACGCATTAGAATAATCTGTTATCGACTGATGACATGTTTCACAAAGATGAGTAGATTACATATGGGCGGATGACCTGTTGCACACAGATTAGTAGTGTGAAGAGCTGATATAATTATGAATACATAGATATTGCGTCAGTGGCACAGTGGTTAGGGCACTCGCCGACCATCCACATGGTCCGAGTTTCGATTCTCTGCCGACGCACACCTGATATCTATGGTCTGCCTGCGAAAATTGGGCTACCGATATCCATGCTGAAAATTGCATACTTGTACCAAAAATACAGTGTGGAATCAAGCTATAAATCACAAAAGATATTCATGATATTGTGGAAAGGTGAATTCCTCTGGGTCGGTCAACATGCATTGAATAATTCGCGTTGACAGAGACAATATAAGTTATTCTTGAAATAATGATGAAGATTCTATGACATCAACACCGATCAATACAGTCTCCAAAGCCGATTCTGAACGCCATTGTCTTACCAACTAATTCAAAACCAATCATTCTAGGTTTGAGTTCAGTTTGTTCAATATTATTTATGTTTGACGCTGCTGATATAAAGAGACAGATTTCAAAAGATTGAAAGTTTCTGTTAATGTCCTCATCCAAATATTCAAGTCAATATACTCGTCAAAAATAAAGTTGAATCAGCTGCGTATCTCCATTGCCTTCTGTTTTCTGCCGACTTTTTCACCCAGCTCCAAGTCTGCCCATATGCTTTCATCTCCTCTTCACATGACTTCCTCCAAGTCACCGTTGCACTGACGACCAACTCGCCGCTTCCCTTTCGGATTCCACTCGAATGATGGCTTGTCTAGTGATGTCACTTGATGGTTTCCTCAGAGTATGGCCAATCCAACTATCTCCATTTCTTCCTGCCTATTTGTTTCACAATCGGTTCCTGGTTGATTCGCTGCTAGAGATCTCTGTTGCTGACCTTTTCTGGCCATCTGATCTTGAGTATTGGGCGAGGACAACTGTTCAAGAAGGTCTGAAGTTTGTTTGACGTGCTCTTTATGACTCGCAGTGCAAGTCTCTGATCCGTATAGTTGCACTGAGTTCACATTTGATTTGAAAATCCGGATCTTATTTTTGATGCTGAGTGCTGCTGACCTAAAGTTGAATTAGCGACGGTATAGGGAAGTGGAATAGACTAATTCCTCTACATGTCTCCAGTTTGTGATGATTGGTGTCTTTTTTTGTAGTTGGTTCAATATCTTCATCAACTCTGACTTCTCTTCATCCAAGTGAGTTATGTCACTTACGCTTCTTCTGCTAGAATCTTATCGGAACTTCAACGTCCCACATATATCCATCATCTCACTCCATGCAGTCTATTACTCATGGTGTGCAGCACCATAACATCTCACACTCACGTAAGTACGGAAGAAAACCGTATTTGAAATCGATTGCATTCAGAATAAAACTGCAATTCAAGAATATCAATTCCTCGGATACAGTAAATATTGAAGAAGTGGACAATACAACGAGGAGAAACCCTTCTACACCTATTGCAGTTTTCGTCGGAGAATCAATAGCCTCCAAGTCTACTATGTGACCAACATTTTAGCAACCAAACAAGTTCTGTGTAATTATCGACTATTAGAAACACACCACACGGACACGCAGACCATACGGACAAATCACATCTAGTTTTAAATTATAATGAAAAAGGCGACATACACAGCACTCTGTTAGCTGATAACAAGGTATGACATGAAGATTATTCACACAAGTCCACAGATTTCTTAGGATCATC